CAAAACTGACAAATAGCGGCTTGGCTTAACTATTTGTTGTCACATTCTCTGTTATTAATTGATGATAAAACATGTTAAAACAAGGACTTATATGACAAAAAGTAAAAAAGAATTCAGTTAATCAATTTAATTCAATAAATATTTACTAGGTGTTTACTAAGTTTATCAGTTCATGTCTAGTGACTGACAGAGATAAAAGGTAAATAAAACAGGTACATGACTTCAAGATACTACCACTCTAATAGGAAGGTGAAGACCTGTATGTGAATAATTATAGTATTATATGTAATGTGATATGTTTAAGAAAAGTACAAAGTGATTTGAAGGTTCAAAGGAGGGAGACATTTCTTCTGTCTAGGAGAAAGGCTTCATAGAGAAGGTGACATTGGATTTGAGCCTTAATGGAGAGTTAGATTTTCAAAAGATAAAGACAAGGGAAGGGAAGGCATTCTGGTCCTAATAATGAAAGGATAAGTGAACAAATGCCTTTGTTAGTGAATTCCTCGATACCACACTGCTTCAGTGAAGAAATAACTGGAGGTAAAGCTGGAGTCGTAATTTGAAGCCAGTTTGTGGAGGATTTTGAGTATAAGACTAAATAATTCAGTGCAACAAATAGACATTTATTAAAATGTAATATTTTAAATAATTCAGTGTAACAAATAAACATTTGTTAAAATGTAATATTTTATTGTTACAGAGAGAGGCAGTATGGCATATTGAATACAAAGCTGTCCTTGGAGTCAGAAAAACCTGAGTATAAGTCCTGTCTTTTACCTATGGCTGACTGGTTGACTCTGGGCAAGTCATTCTGGGTTACAGGCAACTCTCAAAGACTCCTAAGTCACAAAGGAATTTGTTGTTTTGCCGTAGGACATTTCCACATGGGGATCCCAATCCAAATCATAGGCCTGTATCAATACTTTTCCCAAACAACAACAACACTAACAATAATAATAACATTAGTTGTTTACTATGTACAAGGCACAATCTAAGGACTTTGGACAAGGCACTGTAAGGTTGAGGAGTATGGAGGTTATTTTGTGGTGAATAAATAGCCATTGAGAATTTAGAGCAATGGAGTGAGTTGATTAGTAGTATACGTTATGAAGATTATTCTATTCATCCAAGTCTAGAATAGATTTAGGCCAAAGGAAGACTAGAGACTGGGATACTGGTTAAGAAGCTATTGCAGGGGGCAGCTAGGTGGTGAAGTGGATAGAGTACTGGCCCTGAAGTCGGGAGGACCTGAGTTTAAATCTGGCCTCACACCAAACACGGTGTCACTTACTAGCTGTGTGACCTTGGACAAGTCACTTAACCCCAATTGCCTTAAAAAAGAAGAAGAAGAAGAAGCTATTGCAGAAGTCTAGCTCATTGGTAACGAGAGTTTGACCAGAAGTGGTATTAGTGGGAATGGAAAGTAAATGGGAGCTATCTTGCAGAAGTATAATTCAGTTCAATTCAGTGAATATTTATTAAGCACCTCCTGTGTGCTAGGCACTGAGCTAAAAACACTGGGGATGCAAAAGAGGCAAAAGGTAGTCTGTGATCTTAAGGATCTTACAGGCCATGGGAGAGACAACATGCAAACAAATACATACAAAGCAAGCTATATGCAGGATAAATAGGAAATAATGAACAGAAGGAAGGCACTAGAATTAAGAGGGATTGGGAAGGCTTTTTTTTTTTTCAGTTGGGACTTAAGGGAAGCCAGTGAGGTCAGTACTCTGAGCAGAGGAGGGAGCGTTCCAGCCCTGGGAGACAGCAAGAGAAACTTCCTGGAGCTGAGAGATGGAGGGTCTTGTTCTTGAAACAGGCAGGAGGCCCGTGTCACTGAATTAAGGAATATGTGTCGGGGAGGGCAGTAAGGTGTAAGAAGACTAGGAAAGGTCGGAGGGGGCTAGGTTATGAAGGCTTTGAATGCCAAACAGATCATTTTGTATTTGCCCCTGCAGGCAGTAGGGAACCACAGGAGTTTATTGAGGGGGTGGCATGATCAGACTGATGCTTTAGGAAAATCATTTTCGTGGTTGAATGAGGAATGGGAAGAGATTTGAGACAGGCACTCCCCAGCAGGCCACGGCAGTAATCAAGGTATGAGGTGATGAGGTCCTGCACTAGAGTGGTGGCAGGGTCAGAGGAAAGAAGGAAGCATATTCCAGAGATGCTGCAAAGGTGAAATCGACAGACCTTGATTCCAGCTTGGATATGGGGGTGGTGGGGTGCTGAGAGATAAGGAGGAATCCAGGATGAGGCCTCAGTTGAGAGCCTGAGGGACTGGGAGTATGGCGTCCCCCTCTGCAGCAATAGGGAAGATGGGAACGGGGTATGGACGACAGGATTTGGTAATCAACTGAATGTGAGTTGGTAATGGAGTGAGAAAATTCAAAAATGATTGCGATGTTTGGATTGGGAAGAAGAGTTGCCATCTTTGGCAGGAAGATAGGAATGCCATTATTTAAAAGAAATAGGGTGGGGCAGCTAGGTGGCGCAGTGGATAGACCACCGGCCCTGAAGTCAGGAGAACCCGAGTTCAAATCTGGCCTCAGACCAAACACTTAACACTTACTAGCTGTGTGACCCTGGGCAAGTCACTTAACCCCAATTGCCTAAAAAAATAATAATAATTAAAAAAAAAAAGAAATAGGGCATTTAGGAGTAATAAGCATGCTAGAAGTGGTAGGCAGTGATGAACTTATATTGGAGAGGTATATTCTGGAACTCAGGATAGAAGTTGGGGATGGAGATAAAAGATTTTCCTGGTAGATAACCATTGGTGATAATACAGGAAAAACAAATACTTCTAGAAATTAGGTTGACCTTTTTATACACATGGATGTTTTATTTTCATATTTACTTTAATTCAAATTTTAATAATCAACAAGGCACAGATGGCATGTTTTTCAAAATGGAGATGACACAGAGCTGAGAAGAATAGGTAACATTTTAAATAAATGGCAGAATCACAAAAGATCTCTCAATAGACTAGACTAAAGGGCCAAATCTAAATTTAAAAGGAATAAAAATAAAGGCCTACATATGAGTTCATAAAATAAACTGCAGAAATAATATAGGAGAGGCAGGACTAGACATTTCATTAAAGATATCTGAACACTGTCATAGGCTACAATCTCAATATGAATCAACACAGTGATGTCTGGAAAAACTAATAAGCTATGTAAGGCTGCATTAAGAGAAGCATAAGGATCCTAAAAGAGGAGTTTGATAATTCTGTCCTAGTCAGACCACATTTGGAGTACCATGTTTAATTCTGGCTGATGTCGTGTAGACAGGACATTGATAATGGAGTCTACTCAGAGGAGAGCTAAAATGATGACTAGAGAAGGATCCAGAAGGAGAGAGAAGGATGGAGGAAAGAGAATGAAAGGAAAAAGGGATAGCTTACACAGGAGACAAGAGGAGTGTGATAGTTGACATAAGGAAGAAGTCTTAAGCTTGCTTTTCACCTTAGAGTGCAGGTGGAAGAGCTATAGTGCAGGCTTGAAAAAGGTGGATTTTGGCTTGATGGAAGGAAAAAAAAAAAAGCCTGGTGACTACGAGAGGTATCCAAAAGTAAAATGGGCATCCTGAGAAAGCAGCGGGTTCCTCTTTATTGGAATTTTTCAGGCAGAAGCTGGATTTCTGCTGTCTACCGATGTTGTTAGAGGCAATTCCTATTCAAATACAGATTTAGATCACACGAGTGTCTTCCAGCTCTGAAATTCTATGATTTAAAAAAAAAAAATCTCCTAACTATTCAAAGGACTGTACTAGGCTTTGGGGAAGATACAAAGGTAAATAAGACCCAGTCTTTGACCATGAGGGGTGTGCAATGGAGCTGGAGAGGTAAGATGTATGTATAAATAACTGCAATATCAAATAGAACGTAAGTGCCTAGGAGAGATATAAAGAAAGTACTGTCGTGATAGCGGATCTATGTGAGTCATATCTGCATTTTTTTTTTTTTGAAAAATCCTTGTCTGGTGAGGGAAAAAAAAAATATGTGAGTACTCTTTGAATCTTCACAGCTTTATCATTTTTCCAGTGTATTAAGTACATTTGGGTAAAGGCTGCGATGAAAATGTGTACCCTTTGAGCCAAATATTAGCAATTCGGTTAAAACAGAAACATGATCCCTTATGACCATGCGACCCCTCAACATCTAACTGCCTTAAGAAAATGCAGAGCTTGTAAGGATTAATAGAAAACAAATCTGGTTGATTTGATTCTTAAAAAGGAAAAACAGCAACAAAAAAAAAACAACTAGATATCAGTTCTTAAATTATTTTTGTAAAGTGAAAACAACAACTATAAAAAATTAATTCAGAAAGTAAATGGTTTTTATTCTGGGAGTATGCTTTCATACTACTTAGCAGTCCATTCTTACTAACTTAGTTTTCTGAGACATGTACCATGGGATATATTGGTAGGATGTTTAAATTGTCAAGAAGCAAATGTTGGGGGACTCATTTGAAGGAAGTTTGGACGTGATTAGAATTTATCATTATCAAAATTATTTTATACCTGGAATTTTGTACTTTGTGTACTTGTTTTAAAATAATTTACACATTTCAGATAACTGATTATCATTTAGGTGTGATACAGACTACCCGATTTTCCCTTTCATGCACTTTCTAGGGCCGTAGAATGGAAAAATCTGACTGACCCCTCCCTCCACCATGCTTGCAGGAGTGAGATGAATTGTTCCAGCCCTACATAAATTTAGGGAGGGCTTCTGGTTTATTACAGCCTGACCTCCAACCCAGAGGTCAGAAAATCAGACTGATTAATTCAACTTCCTGGTCATCATTTCAAATGAAATTTCAGATTAGGGAGGGATAATTGGTTATACTGATATTCTCATTTAATTATACCTCATTGCTTTTAAAAAGTAGTTTAGCAGTATAAGATGTGCAGAATGGAAGGCAGATGCCAGAAATATTCTTTCGTGTTTTAGGGTTTATATCCTTTCCTCTTCTTCTTCTCTTTTCAGAAAATCAACACCTTTGAGAACAGAATGTTAATGCTTGATGGGATGCCGGCAGTCAGAGTCAAAACAGAGCTGTTGGAATCTGAACAAGGGGTAAGTTGAGGTTTCTAAACTCCCCTCCCCCAACCCTTTTCCTGATAGAGATAATCATTTCCAGACCTAAGCCAAGGTCTCTAGCAGACACATATGTAACACTCCAGTATGCTGAATAATACCTACCCGTCTGCCCCTTCTAACACTACCCATTTGTGAGTGCAGGCAATCTGGCCTTTAGGAAGGTGTATTCATTCACCTCGTGGGAACCATATGGTCACTACTTAGATGTAGCTTGGTAAATGTTTTGAAAAGCCTAATAAAAATCCAAAACAAAGAAGAAGGAATAAGTACCAAGAAAGGTAAGACTAGTTTCTCAATGTAGCTTGGGTTTTTAAAAATGGGGAAATGGCAGAATACAGGTAGAGGTATAAGGTAGTTCATGTTTGCAGGGTGAATTTTTCTATTGACATTTCAATTTATCCTGTTTCACACCATAAGAAGGAGGGGGGATACTTGATCAAATTGAAGGTCAGTATATTTGAAGTGTCTGTAAAAGCAAGTGGAAATACTACTTTAAACACATCTTCTAACTGTTGAATTAATTCATGGCTACTGAAAAATTTGAAGTCTGAGATTGCTGCTGGAGGCATGGATAATTTCACAACTGTTAACATTTATAGCTCTGCTAGTTAAAATAATGATAAGGGCAGTGGGATTCCGTCATCTTATAAGCTGATCACTTCAGTGAGAAAGGGAGGAAATAATGCCTTGTGTGCAAGGCTATATATTGGCTATCTGAATTATGGAACACTTGTTTTTAAGCTAGTAGGGAAGAGTAAAGGTAGGAAACAAAACAAAGAAATAGATGATTTGGTACTTGCATGGGATTATCTCTTCTTATAAAATCTGAATAAAATATTACATATTGTTTCCATTGGACAATCACAATAATTTTCAAAATAATACTCTGGAATCTCACAATTTGCTATAAAGCAAAATTAAGTGAGTCCGTCCTGGACACCATTTAAATAGATTATTATGCCCTCAAATAGTTTTGTTATAAAGCTATCAAACCTACTATTAAGATGGTCTGCTACATAGAGCAAATGTGGTGTAAGATGATAAAAATAGCATTTTTAATAAGAGGTGTGGAGGCAGATCTAGTGGTGAGCACAGTGTTTGGCATGCAGTAGGCACTTAATAAATGTCTGTCGATTGATTCCAGTTCAGATGTTTATTACCCATGTGGCCATGACAAATAACTTAAACTCTCAGGGCTACAGTTTCCTCCCCTAAAAATTGGGATAATGATGTTTGCATTACCTACTTTTCAGGTTGGCTATTTCTAAAGCACACTGCAAACCTTGAAGTACTATGTAAGTAAAGGTGATTGTTTTTATGGTTGCTAGTACTTTGGTGAGGCTCTAGAACCTTAGCCTTGTTTCTGAGACTTGTGCGTGAGAATTTATAGCTATATTTAGAATTTACTTATTTTCTCACTAAGGCTGCTGTTAAAAGCCGATGAATAGAGCTAGTGGTCACATTGAGTTTCTTGATTGAGGTTGTAGCATGGGGCAGTGAGGGAGGAAAAAACCCAATAACAACAATAAAATCACTGATTACGTAATCAGAGGGGCCAGGAGACCTGGGTTCATGTCTGGCCTCTGTTACTATCAATGTGTTTTATTCAGTCGCTTTCAGTTGGGTCCGACTCTCTATGACCCCTTTTGGGGTCTTCTTGGCAGAGATACTGCAGTGCTTTGCCATTTCCTTCTCCAGCTTATTTTACAGATGAGGAAACTGAGGCAAACAGGGTTAAGTGACTTGCCCAGAGTCACAGAACTACTAAGCATCTGGGGCCAGATTTGAACTCAGGTCTTCCTGATTCCAGGCCTGGAGTTCTATCCACTGCACCACCTAGCTGTTCCACTATCAGTGTGACCCTTAGGCAAATTACTTGACTTTCTAAGTCTTCAGTTCCTTCATATTTAATATGAGCTGACCTCTAAATGGTCTAACTCTAAAGTCTAAATAGTACTATTTATATAGTGCTTTAAGGTTTGCAAAATACATTATAGATATTATTTGATCCTCACAACAAAGCTTTGAGATAAGTGCTGTCATTAAGTCCCATTCTACAGGTGAGGAAACTGAGGCCAATGGAGGTTAAGTGACTTGCCCAGGTTCACACTGCCAGTAAGTGCCAGAGGCTGAACTTGAACCTTGATCTTCTTGACTCCAGGTCTAGCCATCTTGTGCTGTGGTCACCTAGCACTACTGATTTTCCCTGAATTTATTTATCCTGGTCATCTACATCAGAAAGTCCATATTTCTGTAAAGTAGCCATCATGATTAGGACAGTATCCAACCGCGCATATCAGCATAGCACTAAGGAATGTATCATGATCTTCAAGTGAATCTGATCAACATAGATGTAAAACCCAGATTAAATAATACTAGAGAATAGAAATGCTTCAAAAGCAGAGATTATCTCCCTTTTTTATTTGCATGCTTAGTCTCTGGTTTAGTGCCATGAACACAATAGGTACTTAATGAGTGCTTCTGTATTCCTTGATTGGATAAAGTGGCTTTTCTGACCTGACTAGACTGATTACTCCATCCAAATTAATCACATAACTGTCAACTCCCCCTCATTACTTTTTGCTTAATATTTTTTACCCTCTGAAGTCTCCTTTGCTGGTTTATTCCTTGGTGCAGAGATCCTTTAATATAAGTATATAAAAACAATATTAATAGCACATATGTTTTTGATCATAGATAAGTGACTATATTCTAATATAATTTCTAATATAATTTCAGTTTGATTGCTTTTTCTTTGTTGATGAGAAGGAAATGAAAAATCCGTTTATATTTCATACCCTTAACTATCAGATGATTCAGCACTCTCAAAAAGCAGTAAATGTACGCGCG